CATTATTGGGCTAGAGTACTGTCAATCTGACCATGCCTGTATGCCACTGGATCAGAGTGCTGTCAATTGCTGCCTGATTGTTGCATGCAAAGTTTGCATTTGGAGCGCTCAACAACGCCATTAGATCAGTGGGCTCTGTCAGTGCTTTGGCAAGGTAACACTTTTTTTTGCCATGCAATAAAGCTAAGTTCAAAGGCCAATTTTAAATATTGGTACAGTAAATAAAGTGCACAAAATCAGTATTTTGTTTAGGCAGTATTTGTGGCACATTTGTCCAAATATTTGTGGCAGATTTGTCCAAAAGGTGTGCGTTTTTTGCGCCAATGCATTTTTAAATGTTCAGCGTGTCATGTAATATTCCCATATAAACTTTAACATCCAATTAAAAAATATTTGTATAGTAAAATTAGCTAATTCACGAGATTAATACATCCTTTATTAGACCGCTTTTTCGAGTTAAATGCAGCCTTACGGATGTGTCGAAATGCTGAATCAATTCATTCACTTCCAACAGCGCTTAATGGGAGCAGCGTCATAGAGGGCAGAGCGTCACGTTATTTAAAGGGGAAGTTCACACCTTAATGAGTAGCAAAGGATTAAGTAGCTGCATTGGTTACTTTTATGCCACTGATAAAGCTTTTATATGTAGTTTGGGGTAATGGGGTAACAATGGGTTTGACTGAAATAATAATGCAATAACTGACACTTTAAATCAATGTTTCAAGAAACAACAACAACACTTTTTAACAAAAAACAGATAAAGACAAAAAAGTAGCCATTGATAATATCTAAACATGCATCCAAATCCAAATGTAATAAAATTAATTTATTTGTGATTGTTGTGTGAATTATGTGCAATGTCTTAGCTACTATAGATTATTACATAGGGCTTATACAGCATCTAGTGGCAACAATGATATTACAGATAATAAATTGTGCAAAATGTTTATCTTAACAGTCAATTTACAAATAATGCATTCAGATTTGTGCAACTCAATGCGCTGAATCTCCACAAATTAGTGTCGTTACTATGACAACCAATTTGAATGTGACAAGCAACTGGTGTCTGAAAAGAATATACATATGTATGTGTATATATAAATATATACTGTATATACATAATTGGGGGGGGGGGGGGGAAAGG